CTTTATAATAACAAGGAATTTTTCCTCACTGAGATTTTTTATAGATATAAAGGATTTTTAGTGAGTATCACTGCAGTGCTGAGCTGATTCTATGAAGTCACTCAGTGAAAGACTTCGCGGACAAAGTCTTAGAGAGGAGGGAATATGTAAGAAATGCTGCTTCTCACACATTCTTTATCTCTATTTCTATCTCTTATATAATCAATAGAGCTAGCAGCTCTTGACTACACACAACTATATAGACTGAAGTTCATAAATACTATTCATAACTCAGCTTGAATGCTATTATACATTTAACCTCTATATTTTATCTTTCTACTGTGAATACTTCTAGTAGTTAACAGTACATATCACGCCAAGCTGCAAACACCCGAATAATCACCTGTGAGCACTTATTCTTACAGATTATATGATTTGAGCTCATCTTCATGCCTCTCAGAGCATAGTTCATACAGGCCTTTTCAAATTGAATAGCAGAAGGTGGAATTGAAGCTTCTAATATAATGTGATTAATGCAAACAGGTATTGATTCATTCTTTGAGTGAGAAGATATGTAAGTTGATTAGCAGTTGAAAGCAATGTGTTCTGATCAGTTACAGTTAATACACACTTTATATTGATATTAATCAGTGACTTCTTCAGAAGTGATTTCAGAGACTCAGAAGCCTGTTCAAATGGCAGAAACTCTTGCTTGTATATAGATATTTGAATCTATTCAGTTCATAGCATCTGCATTATTACTGTTCTTCAGTGTGAGTGTATAAGTCACTGAGATTTAATATCTTCTGTCACTGTTCTGTATACTCTTGAGCTTGATAAGACAGTCATTCAATATCTAAAGCTGTGTGCAGAAGTCTTTGTAGGTCTGGTCTTTATCTACACTTATAAGAGTCTATAAGAGTTTGAAAGTCAATGTCTTCTTGAGCATGTTAATCTTTATTTAATTCTCTCAAGATTGATTATCTGCTTCTAAGATCTTGATATTGAAGTCAGAGATAAATGTTGTAAGAGAAGTGTTTCTCTGTCAGATACTCTGTAATCAATCTAATACTTTCTATTGTATAACAGTGTCTTGAAACAGAATATTAAGATATTTGATAATATTATCAGATATTTATAATACTGATTCATATACTTTCATTTATAAATGAAACTTCTATTTCATATGATTCTTCAATCATTCATTAATATATCAATCTTGATTAATTAATGAACTGATGATATCTTCATCTACATTCAGTTTCATAAGCATTTTCATTCTTCATAATAAGTAGAGAGTGAGATCAGAAGTATTGAAATATACAGAAGTATTTAAGTATTCTTTCAGTGCTTTTGCATTCAATTCTGTAGATGTTAAAATTACATGAGTTAATCATTGAATCTCTTTATATTGAAGTTACTGAGTTGCATGCATATCTGCTATCTATTGTTGTTATAATTTCAATATTGCTCAGAGTTACTGTGACATCACATCTATACTCACATTTAAGAGTTTTATATTATTGTTAGACATGGTTATATTACATTGTCAGATGTGTAATATCTATAGAAGTGTAATTATATCAATATCTCATACATCTGAGATCAGAACTCTTAGATCTTTTACTGATATTCTCTTTATAAGATCTTATTACAGAGTCAGAGTGACTGATAAGCAAGCTTCTATCTGAGAACTTAATATTCACTTTAACTAATTGTTTCTCTTTCTTATATGTTATTACACATTCAGATCTCTCTTGATAAATAATTGTTTCTAATGAGAAGATAATACTGTAAGAATAAGTGCTCGCAGGCGATTATTTGAGTGTTTGCAGCTTGGCATGATATGTACTGTTAACTACTAGAAGTATTCACAGTAGAAAGATAAAATGTAGAAGTCAACTGTATAATAGCATTCAAGCTGAGTTATGAATAGTATTTGTGAACTTCAGTCTATATAGTTGTATGTAGCCAAGAGCCGCTAGCTCTATTAATTATATAAGAGATAGAAATAGAGATAAAGAATCTGCAAGAAGTGAGATTTCTTACATATTCTCTTCTCTCTAAGACTTTGTCTGCGAAGTCTTTCACTGAGTGACTTCATAGAATCAGCTCAGCACTGCAGTGATACTCACTAAAAACCCTTTATATCTATATAAAAAAAAAACCTCAGTGAGGAAAAATTCCTTGTTATCACAAAGAGAAAAGAGTCTGTCACTCAGTTTCTTATTTCATGAGGTTCTTTATGATCTACAGATTCTTCTCTAACTATCACACAGATTCATCTCACATCTTTCATACAGAAGAGTTTCAGTTGACTCTCAATCATTTTCATAAGATTCTTGTGTAATCATTACATAGATTTATCTCACAGATGAATCACTCTATGTGAGATCACTCTTATTAAAGAGAAGTATTTATGAGTTGATCTTTCACTTATTATTGTAAATCATTGTTCTTTGACACTGTAGAATTGTGAGAAATTTTTCATTCTTTCATCAACTCTGTAGAATTGTAGAATCAAGATATTCACAGTCTGCAATCACTCTTTATAGTCATATTGAAAGATTCAGGCCTGTAATTCACAATCACTCTTATTTACTATAGTGATCTGACTGTTCTGCAGAATCACTCACAGTGTAAGCAAACCTCTCTAGAGTAGTATAAATATCTCAGATCTGTCTATGAAATCTCATCTTCTTTTTTCTTTTTCTATAACAGCTCTCATTTTTATAAACTGTGAGTATTCTTATTCATCTGTGAAGTGTTTTCACTCAGATAATAGAGAGAGAGTGTTTCTAACAATGTTCATATATTGATTCAAGAACTTCTCAAGAATAAAAATTTTTCAATTTCAATATCTTTGTAAACAATGTCTGACTGCTGCTGAGCTTCTTATAAGCATCTCTGCAACTTCTCTGATCACTTTTTATCAGCTAATGAAGCAGAGATATCACTGCTTATAACAGCATCTTCACTTCTTTCAGCTCTGTCATCATATCTGATCTTCAGATCAGCAGTCAACTCTATGTCTTCTTCAGATCAGTTTCTGGCTTTAAGCAGTGCAGTCTCTCTCTTTACTGTAAGTCTTCTCATAAGTAATTTCTTACAGACTCTAGCTAACAGTTCTTACAAAGCTTCTGATATTGTCAGTGTCTTCTGCAGCTCTACAGATCTATGATCATCTTTTCTCTACCTGCACAATCTCTGATCAGATATATGTAAATATATCTAGATTCTCTATCAATGATTCTCGCACTGCAGTGCATTTCTGCAATCTCATTATCAATGAGTAGACTGACCGTGTGACCGTGTCTGAGACCAGAATCAAACTTTACAGTTGTTACATTGTCTAAAAGCATTACTTCTGGTCATGATTTGTGTTCATCACATTGATTTCAAATCATGTTATTTCAAATATTAAAGGTTTCAGATTCACTTTTTAAATAAAAATCTAGTCTCAGATAAAGAATATGTTTGAATTCTTAATCACATTTTCATTCTGATCTTATTATTAAGAATGGTATTAAATGAGACTATAAAATCATTTCTCACTTATATAATATCATAACATAGTGCTTATTTGTTGAAAATTTAACAGAGAGTGTTATCAAATATCATTACTTTTCTAAACACAGATCATAATTCATATAATTTTAATTATGAAAAAAACATAAAATACAAAAAAAAACAAAAAACAAAAAACAAAACAAACACAAGAAAAAAAATAAAAAAAAAATAAAAAAACAAAAAATTAAAAAAAAAAAATCAAGGTCGCAGGGCTGCAGCACTCTCAAAATACTCATTTCTCAGAGTCTTTGCAATGTTCATTACCAACTGTGTATTTCTCACAGTGAGGGTAACACAGCTGTGATGAGCCATTGCCTTAACATTATCTAATAAATAATCAGTATATATCTGTATAAATGTGAATAATTAGAAAACATACACTTAAAAAGTATGATCAGAATAAACTCTGCTGTCACTTGAATAGCATCAAGAACAGAACACTGAAATTGATAATTTCTCTCATCAATTTCACAGACAAGGCATGTGAAGATGATCTTGAGAAATATAAGATTTCTCAACTTCTGATAAAAATGAATCTCACAGAGAGACTCTATTTTCATGATATCAGAGACTGAGTGTTATTAAAAAGTGTTACTTTCATGCAATACACATGCACTTACTGTGAAGATTCACTCTCTGCATATATAGTCAAGAGTTGCGGCTTTCTCATACTGCACAGCTCTCTCTGAGATACTGCTGTCAGTTTACAATTCACACAGTCTCTCAGTTCAGCACACACTGCATGTATGCAGCCCTGCGTGCTGAGGCTGTGTTGATTATTATGGCCTGATGTGATACTCGCTTTTCGCGAGCCATGTTTCATTTGAGAGAGGGGGAGAAGACGCGACTGTTGTTTTATTAAGAGAGAAATAAATAATTAGTATTATTGAATATAATTTAGTTCATCTGTATTTAAAATTTGATTAGTCTATACTCTTCAATTTGAGAGTTTCTATAAGTGTTTTAATAGTTTTCATACCAGCTTAAACTTAGTGATGAGTTGAAGAAGAAGAGAAATGAGAGAAGAAAGAAATGAGAATAACTTATCTTTATAATATAAAAACAGAGAATTGCTGTAATTATTCTCTCTAGTAACAAAGATCTGTTTTCTGCATGTATCTCTGATATAGATTACATGATAAATGCATACAAAGAATATCAATAGTGCATGTATTAAATGAAGATAATATTGCTATGTAACACTGTAGTCATTTCTGTACATCTCTGAAAGCTGTTAATAGTTTCTTTATCTCTTTATATTTGATAAGTCAATAATATATTCTGATACACTTCTCATTTCATTATTATCATTATTATCATCATCACTATCATCATCATCATCATCATTATTATCATTATTATCATTATCATCATTATTATCATTATCATTATCATTACTATTATATCATTGCCTGCCTTCACCTCTCTCTCAATGCTCATCAAAATCAATCATGTCATTCTTCTTCAAATATTCTGCGGTTCTGCAGATCATCAAGACGCGTGAGCGCTGTCACAGATTGAAGAGAGAGAAGAAGAAGATGTTCAAGTGTAGAAAGACAGATCACAAGGCATGTTATAATGCCTTGAAGAGACTTTGTAAGAGAGTAGAATAATAACAATTTTAAGTAACACTTCTGATAGATTTAGACTGAACTAAGTATAGAAATAATACAGATAACACCGTCTGTGAGAGATTGAAAAAGAAGATAGTGAAGAGTCTCATGCAGCAGCAGTGAGACCAGGAGAAGTTCTGAGAATGATTTGAGGTCAAGATGAAGAGAGAGAGGGAGAAGAAGAGTATTACTGTAAATAAGCAGCAGCAGAAGAAGATTGAGAACATATTAAAGCAGGAGACAAAGAAGTCAAAACTGATAAGTTTTTTATTAAGAGATAATGATTTTTGATAATGCTTCTGTTCTCTAATTGATTAGCAGGAGCTGGCAGAGAAGGGAATTGAGGCCTTGTTCAGGTCTCAAATGCGCTTCATGATTCAGAACATTGAGAAGACAGCCCTGCTCTCTGAGCATGTCAATCTGCTTATCACTGAGGTGGAACCCGAGGCAGCAGACCAGGAAATGCGGGATTTTGAGGCACAGGTTGACCTGGCTGAGAAGAAGCAGTGAGAACTCTTCTCTGAGAAGGCAGCAGAGAGAGATTTTGAGATGATTATCATCTCAGATGAGAAGAAGAAGAAGAAGAATGAGAATGAGAAGTGAATTATGAAGAATGATGAGAAGAATGAGAAAGAGAAGAAAGATAATGAGTAGAAAAAGTTTTTTTCTTTTTATATTAGTTAGTTATAAGTTCATAACTATTAGTTAATAATTGAAATTAATTTTGAGTTTTCAAAAATTATTGTACAAGTTGTAATCAATTATCAATATCAGAAATAATATATATATATATATTTAACTATCATGTCACTATAATGTATAAGTATCAACATTTTTTCAACATTGATATTCACAATATTAATATATTTTTAATAATATTATCTGATAATGCAATTAGGTAACACTCTCTTTCATAATATTAATATATTTCAAGAAATATGACAGAGATTAATCAAGATTGTTTATTTACTTTTATACATTGATAATATTCAATCTGAGTTAGTACTAAAATTATAACTAAGCTAAGAAAGAAGATTATTTTCTCTTATATTAATTCTTCTTACACACATCAGTGATCAGTTATTGAAAATAAATTGTCATCTTTCTCAAATTATTATCATGTCTTCTGAATTCACTTCTTTCACTTCTTTTACTTCTATTGAAGATTCACAAACTCTTCAAGAAATCACTGTAAATTACAAAGTCTATGTTATTTACAATTCAACACAGAATACTCTCTTTCAATTATGATGAATAATTACTTCATTCTTCACATCTGATTCCAGGTCATGAAATTTATGAAAAACTCAACACAAACACTGAGATAAACTATGAAATAATTATCAATAGATTGCATTACAGATTACTGAAGAGTTATCTCTCTACTACAATCACTGCAACTTCATTCAGAAACATTCATTATAAACTGATCATAACTCTGAAGAAATTTCCTGACACCTGAAGTCATCAGAATGCAGACAATAAAAGAAAAATAATCAGAAAATTACTACTGAGCTGATAAGTTACTCTATCAGATAACAATTTTTGATAACACTAACTTTCTAATTTGAAGAAAATCATGTAAAAATAACTATGTATCAGTACTCTGATTTCATAACTCTTATTTGATAACTTCTGTAAACAATTACTTCACATGTATATATCTCTGAATCTTTCTCTTCAATTAATTGAAAACTCTGAATTCTGAATACTTCTTCAAATGCTTAATTCAAATCTTTATATTTCACATCAATTCTGTCTTCAGTTCAATCTCAAGACACACTACAAAGTCAATATGCAACATCTAGAATCAGAGTTGAAGAATCATTGAAGAGTGTCTCTCACAGTGAATACATAAACTAGTACAAACAATCTTGCATTTATAAGAGTTACATATTATTACATTGATGAGAACTGAACTTATTAAGAGACATTAATTGAATTTGAATCATTGATCAGTAGTTATACTGAGAATTATATGACAGAGATATTAATGACTGTGATTAAAAATGACTATTAAGATATTAGTCTCAGTCTTCTTACAATTACAACTGACAACACTGTGAATAACTACACTATGATGAACAGCTTGAAGTAAAAATTGACTTTGCATTTCTGAAATGATAAACAAGATCATATCCCCTGTATTACTCATATGATTCAACTTGTGATATAAACACTGATAAAGAATCTTAACATTGAGACAAAGAATAATGAGATGGCTGATTCTTGAGATGAGAATGAGATGAAAGTGATTACTCAAGTAACTTTTGCATTCACTTTGCAAAAGATAATGTTTTTTGACAACACTTTTTAATATTGCTTTTTAATAACACTTTTTAGTAATGCTACTGTTAATTTTGAATAGATTGACTAATAATTTAAATATCACAGATTCAAAACATTGCTAATGTAATTTGTATCTTCTCTAAACAATAACAACAATTTCATGATATTTAATAAACAAACAAATCAGTCACATCACTGAATATAATACAGAATGTTAGAACACAGTGAAGTTCAATATATAAGATAACTGTTCAGACTCTTCAATTGCATCAGACAATTGATTATTGAATGCAACACTCTGATCAGAAAAAGATTCAGACATTGAAACTTTCTGATATGAAGTGAACTCAGTTGAAATATGTGATTGATTATTATTATTATTATTATTATTATTATTATTCTTCCATTATACTCATATGCAAGCGGAGCTTATGATGAGTTCTTGCGTGATGTTAAATACAGGCCAAGTGTTGGTTATACAGGAGGAAATACAGGTGTTGAGACCACGCCAAGATAACAAGAACATAGGAAATACAAAGGAGTGACAATTAGATACATGCGATAATAACTTCCCAGCCCAGGAACATAGAGCGATTTTATTGGAGCGATTTGTACACCTCTGTATTTATTAGGAACCTGAGGTGCTTGAGTTCCGGATTTAATGTATCCCCTGCGGGTTTCGAACCCACACGCCTTGGTTTCCCATGCCAAGGCGCTACCGGGTGGCCGCATTAACCATTCGGCCACCGGGGCATATATGTGATTGATTTACTGTTTCAGTTTTATAAGATAACAAAGACAGTCACAATCACTTGTACATCAATGCTGCAGTCAGTCTGATGAGTGTATAACAGTTTATTTACTTATCTTGAGAAGCAGTTGAATCACTTAAAAAGAAATTCAGTCTGAGATAATGCTATAGTGCAGGCTATTATTGCTGCAAGGGATAAACTGGCATATTATTACAGTAAAACTGAACAATCTTTTGCAGAGTACTATACTGTAGCAGCTCTACTAGATTCCTCTCATTGAGTTAACATCTACACTTCTCAAGATTGAACAGAGAAGGAATAAGACTTATATATCAAATTAGCCTGAGACTACTACAATGCTAACTATCAGAGATTTGAATGAGCAGATGTTCAAGATGTGAAGACAGTGAAATACAATTCCCTAGTAAGTAACAATCTTTGATAACACTTCATATCTCATAGAACTATAATACTAACTTTGAAACAGAACTTGCATACATTGATTGCAACTGAAAATCAGGCAAAACTACATGCTTGTAAAACTGAATTTGACTGCTATCTTCAAGATGATCTGATGAATTTACACATCAAATCAATTCTAGAGTTATGAAAAATTGTTGAGAGTATATATTCAACTGTTGCACTGATGATGCATGATATTCTGACAATTTCATTGACAGGGGTGAGAATGAAGCAAAAGTTCAACTCAAGTTAAGATATTTATTACTATCATCAGAGACAATTATAAGAAGAAATAATTAAGAAACTCATGATTGTAAAACATGAAATTATCAGACAGTTTAATATCTCTGATCACAGTATATCAGAGAAGTGTAGTTTTCATGAGAAAGTGAAGAATAAACTTGCACAAGAATGTATTTAGTTGTTTCATAAGTGTTATCAATAATTATTACCAAATTCTGATTATATAAGCAATCACTGAATGAACTGAAAGAGACTGATTTTAATCTTCAGTCTCAGTTCCATTCTGATTTTGAAAGAATGATCATCTTTCACAGTTTATTCTGAGAAATTACTCTCATTTCACTGTTCTTGAATTAAATCTGGTCATTTTTCACGTCATTTCTCTCAGAAATGGTCCATTTTCAGATTTTTTTGAGGCTTGGTCCTGATGGGACTCACATCAAGAAATGTATGAGATCAGATTAAATGAGATCAAATGTGAAATTCATGGTCCCGCCGGCCAGTCTATCAATGAGAGATGAGTCTCTGAGTACTTATAAAATCTGAGTAATCAAGGCAATGCAAATGCCATGAATTTATAACAGAAGTTAATCTGAACAGATAAGCTCTCTCTTCACATCTTAATTATTTTCAGGCTGAATACTTCAGCATAACTGAGAAAGTGAATATAGCTTTATAAGAGATATCTGATCACATGTGCAGACAGTCAGCTCTTAAGACTCTGCTACAACTGTGTATACTCTGATATTCAGCTTCTCTGAAGTCTGTGCATTTCTGACAGTCTTTATGTCAAATATAACAATTGTCTGTATCACAGATATGATACTCTCTACTTCTTTGAAGAGAGAAATTAATAGTTATGAGAGAATTAAGTGTTACAGATATTGAGAATATAAGTGTGAGTTTTCTTTGTTTTTTCTTTATTAATCTCTAAATTGTATTCACAGCTCTGTTTTTATTTTCTTATTTTTTAGCTTTAATAAGAGCATGATTTCTTCTTCTCTTTATATACACTGCAGACTGTTCATCTCAGTAGAAACTCATTATCTTATAGACTAGAGCTTGTAAATAATAGTATTAATATCTTTGTCACAATCAGATTCTTAGTGAAGACTGTGTTATTCTGACTTATCAGAATTTATAGTATGAAAGTCATGTCTTAACTTCTACAGATGTTTTATCTGTCTGAATGATTTCTAAGTGAACTTATTCATCTTATCAGAATACTCTTGTCACTGAACCTTGAATCAGAGCTTGCAATCTTATTTCTCTAAGTTAATAATTTCTTTGATCTGATATTCTCTTTCACTCTCTAGTACTTTATAGACAGAGTGATGAGTCACAGAGTTCTCTTCTAAGAATTTCTTATATTTACAGAGTAAAGAGACATGAAAAACATTGTATATCTGTAACTCAGATAATAGTTTCAATCTGTAGAACTGTAAGCTAACTTTCTTCATAATCTTACAAGACTCTATCTGTAATAGATTCAGCTTCTTGCTAGATCTCTGTATGATAATGTTTTCTAGACTCAGTCAGACTCTATCATCTTTCTTGAAACTTTTTATAATATACTTGAAGTCATAGTATCTCTTCTGATACTCTTGAGTCTTTCTTAAGAATTTACAGACTTTCTCCTAGATCTTCTGAATTCTCTCAGCTCATTCACAGACATTATCACACTCTATAGTGTACTCTCACAGGTTTATCAAGATCATCTGTGAATAAGTCTCAGTGAGTATCTCAAAGAGAGTTTTATCTATA